CTTCTCTTCTCTTCTCTTCTCTTCTCTTCTCTTCTCTTCTCTTCTTATCATTTCCTACCATTATGACGTCATAACTTTTGTGACGTCAGCTATTCTTCGCTTATCCATTGATAACTCTTCATCATTATCCTTTTGAAATACATGCTCTGTATAAAATGTTTAGATATATCAGTAATGTTTTTTTTAGTGTATTTATTTTTTTTCTCGTAAACACTTAACGAATTCTTGGAGATCACTAGTCTTTTCGTCTCCTTTTTATAAGAGCTTTTGCATGGCTTTATCCTAAGACCATCACTACGAACACTTAAAACGAAGTACAAAGAGCTTAAATCAAGAATATAATAACTTCTACTGGTAAGCTCTTTGTTTAGATGGGCGGCTTCGATAATAGCCGTTAAGTGAGTCTGAGAAAATCCTTAATTTCCAGAGCACGTAGTCCATAGTGAAAACCACAAACAATTGCGTGAATCTGCTCATTTAGCCTTCAGCCAAATCAAAATTRAAATCCTAAAAAATATAAATATTTTGTAATCAAAAATAGAATATCCTGCTATCGGGTGAAAAGTTCCCAGAGCAAATGAGATCAACCTTGCTAAATTAGAACTTCAAATTATAACAAAAAAAAATTGTCATTTTTTTTCTCCATCCACTTAATTATTCCCTGAAGTGAGTACAATGTTACTAGGTTTTTGAAATATTACTCAGTCTTATAATATAATTTGTAYGCATAAACCCCAAGGCATCCGAGAACCATTTATTCATTCATTTTTCGGAAGAGACCAGGTTTTGAATGACATTAGTTAGATAAGGGAAGTATTTGCAATGATTAGCGTGGGCACGTACTGAAATTCAAGTGTTTTATCGATACAGTCTCTCTTTACGGATCTTTTCGCAAAAAAAAAAAAACACTATACCGGTACTAGTGTTAGAAGGGAAAATCTTTCCCGCGTATAGACTGGCGACCGACATCTGAGCATAGTGTACGTGGATCTGATATATTTATGAAACTACGAATACTTGACGACTTTATTGAAACATTTTGAAACATTTTGCAGATCTCAGTTCAAAGCAAAATTCGAACTAACAGTCAATTCAGTTCGGGAACTAATTTTTGAAGAAATATCTTCTCAGAAATTTATTCTCAGTTCATGATGGAGGGAATATAAGTCGAAAGTACTTGGAGATGCTTAGAGCAGTATTTAAGATGTATTTAAATAGCTTATCTTAAGGACGTTTATGGGCATTGTTCGCGCGCATCCCGTCCTTTCTACGCATGAATTTAGTGAACGCGCGCTCATCGTGATGACGTCATTCCAATGTTTTGATAAGCAAGATATCATAAAAACGTCTTTAATTTCTTATAGCTCTAAAACGAAGTCGGGCATCCCCCTTTTTTATTTAGTTCTTTTTCTGAAATTACTTCGTAATGCCTAACTTTAGAGGAAACATTTAAAAAATCTTACGATGGGATCAAATTGATGGTTTTCACGTCGGCCATGTTGGAGGACTTTAACGAAAGAATTGTCAATAAATTCTTTTGTTATATCCTCCAACATGGCCAACATGGCAACATGTCTTTTGKTATTTGATTCTCTTGGGAATGGTTGAAAAACCAATAGAAATTACATATTTTGTGYATAATTGGAATAGGATWTCACKCATCGCCAAGGCTTCRAGTCCACTTTTACATAGCGAAYAACATTTTRGGTTTCTAATTTTTARCACAAATTTCAAATGGTAACTAGTTATCTGTWTATTTTCTAATCTTCTGTGAAAAGTGGGACGAYCAATTYATTTTTTCATTAAAATATGATTTATTTTTAATAGCTTTCCACAAGAGAATATGAACTTAGTTTATATTCTCTTGCTTTACATGTTTTACACGTCGTTCGCGCGTTTTTACCGTAAAAAGGGTGAACGTSCACGCATTCTGACGGCTAAACGAAGTCGGGACCCCATTTCTTACTTACYTACTTTACWTTTAGTATGATGTACTTTCATAGTGCAGCATAAAATAAAAAATCTGACGACGGGATCTTTTGCCCATGAACGTCCTTAAGAGCGTGTCATGAGTACCTTGCGACATATTGATTGGACAGGAGGAAACATTGAAATACCATTCGCCATAATCGAGCGTTTTTTCTCTCGCAATAATACTTATCTTGTCATTCCTTTTTTTTCTTTCTTTCTTTTTTCTTTTTCTTTTTTTCTTTTTCTTTTCTCTTTCTTCTTCTTTTTCAAAGTAGAAATAAGAGATGTAAATCGAACGACGATTTATAGCCAAAATAATTTTTTTTCAACTTTATCTCTGCAATCATTAATAGCCGAGGTTTGGCGATCGTATTATCTAAACTATTCTTTTTTGTTTCCCCAAAGGTTAAGGATTTATAATGCTTATAAGAGAGAAACATATATTAATGACAAAAAATTAACTTTCTATCTTAAACGTTGAGTATCAATTTTGAGGATATATTCAAGATATTTATCGCATTTTCTTCTCGGAACTTCTCGTGCAMGGAAAAAAAATCTTGTGTTTTTGCACTCTTCATTAAATCCTAAAAAAAAATATTGTTTTTGTTTCAAATCCAGGTGTTTTTTTCTTTTTGTATCCATATTTAATTTTCCTGTCCCAACAGCGGAAAGTCCATCTACAAAAAATGTTCTCACCTCTCTTCAAATTGAATTTTTGACAGCTCAAATACGCTTGACCTCATTATGTATCTGCATATTAAGGACCAATTTCGAAACTGCGTTCTAATTATACCTTTAAATATCTCAGTGATAGAGTGCAGAGTTGCAAGACTTGGCACTTGTGTTCAAGCAGTTGGAGTCTAGGGAAAATGAGGAGACTGAGAGAATCATTGACATTTTGTTTATAATCACTTGGATTAAGAAGAAGAAAAGAAAAAGAAAACAAAGAGAGAAATCGTTTTCAAAATGGACGCTTAACTGATCTGTGACTCAAAGAAACGGATAATTTTTCAAATTCATAAATATTTCATTTGAATAGAGACTAAGAGCTAATTTATTAATTTATAGCAGCCCATTCGTTCACAGCTTATTCCCGTCTTTTAGTTTCACCCGGATCATTTATCAGGAAAAGATCTTCTGATCTTTTTCAGCAAAATAAAACACGGCGCCTCCAACGCTTGTCGACCTCATCTATCAACCACCGGTTCCGTCACTTTGTAGATGAAAATCTACTGAATTCTCCCGGGGTTTTTTCAATAAGTTTAGATGCCATTCAGCGAAATTTTTTGTGTAATAATATATATTTTGAGCACTGAAATATTTGCTTAAAATGTCTTTCAAGTATTCATTGCTTATGATCGGCTGTCTTCTCATGGGCCTTTTCTGGCATGGCTTCTTTTCGTTCGGGTAAGATTGTTTGATAAGATTTTTATAGTATCACGATTCACAGATTATTTCAATCATCTTATGTATACAAGGCTTATCGTAATACTCGACCTCACTTTAGCCTTACTTATAATCTGGAAATATCGCAAGAAATACGATCGTGTAGTTCCTATTTCGTGTACGCGACACTTTTTTTTTTTTTTGCACGGGTTTGATTGACAACCGTCTCCCTCCCACTCGTAGCCTTTTAAATCGCCGATACATCAAAATATAAATACTCTCTTTGAGAGCACATTTAAAAACCTGACAATGAACGATATTCCCCATTCAGGCATTTATCAAGAGGTGGTGTGCGCACGCGCAATCGGAGCGCAGTAGTAGATGTTTGCCAGCCCACGCCATAATTTTCACAGTTCTGGAGCCTCAAAGATTGATGCGTTAACCCAGCAATTTCTTGTCTTTTTGTCCTCCAAGCATGGTTAATATGGGGATAAAATGTGCAAAGTCTGTATGTGGTCATCTCATTGATTGAAAACAACGCCGTCATTAACGATTCAAGTTTGGGAGCAAAGCCGCGCGGAAATGAGAGACGAACTGTCACTTCCTGTGGGATCTCCAATGACACTTAGTGTGTAGTTTTGTTTTCTTCTCTTGAAAAGCGCTACAAAAAGAAGAAACGGTCTGGTCCGGGGCGGAATTGGCGAGAGAAAAATAGAAAAAGCCCTCGGCTAGTGAGCTATGTGGCCTGTTCAAGGCTCGAAGAATCTCGTTTTTCTGATGGCGCTCTTTTTCGCTTACATTCTTGTCGGAGCTGTGATCTTCCAAGCACTTGAAGCCAAAAATGAAGACTTTGAGAGGATAGACATGATAATGACTAAAGAAAACTTCAAAAAGAAGTATAATATAAGTGACGACGACATGAAAGATTTTTTGAAGAAGATCGAGGAAGTTATCGACCATGGGTTTAGCGAGGAATGGGTGAAACGATGGTCACTGTTGGGTTCTGTGTTTTTCGCAGGAACCGTTGTGACCACAATAGGTGAGTTGAAAACTTTAAGCTTTAAAAATATCATTATACAAATTCAGTGTAAACCCCAAAATAATTACCTTCCCTTTATGAAAAAGAAAGCTTTTGTTAAAAAAAATACATCCGAATTCGTTAGGCATATACGCACTATCTCTTTAAGCAGAAAGATATTTTATATTTACTACTATTATTTACACTTTTGAACTCTATTTCTAAAAATAATCACCTGGGTAATTTTTCGATTTTCATCTCTCAAAGAAGCACTTACAGTCGTTCCTCCCTGATAAACCAACATATATAATGAGGTCGCTTTTTCGAGGCTAATTTTTGCGACATCTGATAGTACATTAGAACTCGTACTTCAATAAAACCCAAGTCAGCCCCCGGCAGCGCAAAGATTAACCCTTCTTAATGTTGGGATTTAAAAGTAGAGACCAGGTCTTAAGAACGAATATATTTGGTACAGCTGAGTAGATAGGCTTTTCCTGCTAGGTCCGATCTATTATCCCCATCGGCTGTTTGCCAACCTTCTCTTTATAACGATAATGAATGAATGACGCCTTCATTTGCATACGATGAAAAACCTCTTCGAACATCGACGTTAATATCGTGTGAACAACGTTTCGTAAACGGAGCTCGAAAGCTTGAAGAACGTAACACACCAATAAACGCGACTTAGCAAGTAATTTCACTGGTCATGTCTCATGTTCAACTTGTTCAACTTGTTTCTTGAGACAAAATAAATGAGCATTTTAGATGGACTAGCGACTCCTACGCGTAATCGTCAAAAGCGCCCTTAAAACTAAAAGATTTTTTAAATCTTCCGCTCTATGGGAAATGTCCAGTTCTTTTTCCCTTTCCTTTCTTTCGTCTTCCCTCTCTCTTTATCTCCCTCTATTCTGACTTCAACTAGTTTTTGAACATAAGAGAATCAGACAGAGCGATAGAAAGGTGTAAAATCATGCGACTAGCACAAGATTTTTTCTCTCTTCATTTTTTTTTTTTTTTTTTCGATTTTTCAATCCTCATTTCTTATATGCTATGTGTTGTACAACAAAATACGATTTTTTATGTCTTCATTCAATCGAATTCTAATTTTTTCAATCGTGAGCGTTGTTTCTTTAACAATTCATATATCATTTTACTTCGAAGAAAAATGGGATAAAATGACAAAAGATTTTAAACGTTTGCCTTACTTAATTTCTGGAATTTTATGAATAACAGAGGTACGCAATATTAAAGTCTTGATTGGAAAAAAAATTGTGCACAACATCAGATTGTTCTCATCAAACATTTTACTTTAAATATTGCTCAAAGGTTTTTTCACTTGACCTTGGAAAATCATATTTGAAAACACGGATTTCAGCAGATAATTATGATATATAGTCTTGGATTTTCACTCTAGATTAAGGAAAAATTGGATGATATAAGAAAACAGAAACGAGACGATAGATTTATTCTTGCTATAACTTCACATCGATGTGTGAGAACAAGAGGAATTCATTTCACAATTTTTAGTATCTATTTGATATAAATGCTATTTTTTCAATCATTCCAAATAGATTTTTTTATAAAATTTGATCAATATAAACGAAGTTCATGAGTTACCTTTTAAGCATATGTTATAATTTCAAATAATTGTTGTAAAGCCGACAGTCTGCCTGCAATTCGTTGTAATTTACTCGACCAACTTGAAACGTTTTTGCCTGGAGCTCTCTGAAGACGATTCTTGAACGCGCGTAAAACACATTATTTTATGCTCTAGACAAAATAACAGTTGGTGGTGTTGAGTAGGGAGGAATTATCAAGGAAATGACTCGCCTTTCGACTCCATGAAATCCTTGAAAGTTCTCAAATTATCCCTCAAAGAAATATTATTATTTTTAGTTATTTTGGTATTTGAAAGTCGCTGGAAAAGATCGTGGAATCTACCTGCCTGCCTACCTACCTACCTATACCACCTATACCTACCTATACAACTACCTATACCTACCTACCTACCTATAACTACCTACCTACCTACCTA